CATTCGTCCTTGTTGTACGAGGTGAGGTGACAACTTTTCAACAGTGACTGGTTGCCTCCGGACAGGAAGTAGTAGACAATTGGCGTTGGTAGCTGCATGGCAAAGATGTAGCCGGATAGAAAAATCTGGCGGCCAAGAGGGGCGAGGGTTCGGAGTGCTTGCATCAGCGGGACGTGGGCGTTCAATGGTGAACGCCAGGCGTTACCGAGCATCTTATTGGCCGAGAAGAGCAGACGGCGGATATTGGATTCAACCAATTTCATCTGAGTCATTAGTTGAGATAGGCATATTCACCAGTGTTCTGACATACCGATGGTCCGTTGGACAGGATGAACCGATGGGCCAGGGACGGAGCTTCGGCAGCGAGGCGCATGGACAAGACACAACCCCAATCATGGGCGACGATTATGGTTCTCTTCTTGTTGCTTTCGTTGCCCGAATCCACGCCATACTGGGTCCGCAGGGTGACGATCAGTTCTGTCAATTTCTCCAAGACGTTTGTTGCAGTATATTTTCCCAAACTCTCTGTGCCTCCATATCCAGGAAGGTCAATCGCAACGAGCGAAACGGCTTCTTGCAGAGCAGGATTTCTGATAATGTGTCGCCAGATCGCCCAGCTATCGGGGAATCCGTGGATGAAGATGACTAATGGTTTATCGGAATTGATGCTTTCTGGTGTGTTCGGGATATCGTTACTGACAAAGTGGAACTTGAATCCGCTCTGCAAAGTTATAATGTGGTGAGAGAGACCTTCGAAGTCTCTAGATAAATCCCACAGGCGATTGCGAGCTGGACAGTCAGCAAAGAACCTTCATAGTGGTGAATACATAGCTCACCAAGCTGTAGGTCCCGTTTCTCGTTTTCAGTGGGGCGTTTGAAGTATGTGCCTTTAGCCAAGGCAATGAAGCCATAAAGAGCAACTGTAAAGAAGCCGTAGGCAAAGACGGCCGCGCCGATCAAGGCACGGGATACTGATTTACCCATATTTGGAATCATGTGTTGAAAGAGTGAGATGGAGTGAGCCTGTAATAAATGTAAATCTAGAGCTAGGGCAAACCGAGCTCGGGCCATCCACGGGTGGCGTCACACATGAGTCAGCGATGGGCTGACCCGTGGACGGGTACCTACATGCAGATAACTATGTAGTATCTATGGAAATCTCACAATTTAGATATTTTACATCAAGATACAGATTCAGGAATGCAATCATATTATGCTGTAAATTGTAGGCAGTTTACAGTTTTTCTCAATCTATGGCATACCGAACGCCGCCTTCACATGCACAAATATTATTGGTAGGGAACAGGTCCAAGGGAAAGGGGGTATTAACAAGAGCCCAAAAACAAAAAGCCATCATCTCGTCGAAGGAATATATACAGATCAAAGAACGAACCCTAATTGTTCACGGTTGTCGTCTACCAAGCGTCCATACCTGAAAAGTGAGCAGGTTAGCAGAATTCTTTATAGAATGACGAGGTACTTACTCTAGGAGTAGCCGGAAGAACCAAACCTCCAGATCTTCATTTCGTAGGGTCTGCTGTGCCCAGCGCTGGCCCTGCTTCGCGATTTGAAGAGCGGCATTTTTGCCCTCTTCTTCCGAGGTAAAGTATCGCATGCTCTCAACGTACTCGTTGCCTTTCAAGCTGAGGGGGACGTAATGTACCCAGGGCTTCAGCCACTCGTCATGCCATTCGCGGAAGATAGCGATCTTGTAGACAAAGCTGTTACTATGCAAGAACGCGTGGAATCGCCCGCTAAAAGCGTTACCATCGATGTCGAGTAGGAACTTGTGCGCCCACGCATCTTGTTGCCCGGCCTGCTTGAACACCCCAAAGTATTCAGTCTGCGCATTGCAATCGTCCGGGTCACACTGGCCGATAAGTGTGAACTTGACATCGAAGGAATCACGATACGCATCCCGGTTGGCGACCTGTGAAACCCAGCCGCCCCCCTGATGAGCGAGAACTTTGGTGGTACCCAAGGCGTTGACGTTGTCGACAAATTGCTGCCGATGCTGTCGACGCCAACCACCCGCGCGCGAAAATCCACCGGTTGTGGAGCCACGCCAGTACATTCGGTCAGACTTGGCCTCCCACGAATAGTCTTTCTCGGTGTTGTAGGGGACCTTGTCGGCCCAGTACCAGGGACTCGGGTAAATAATGTCCTGGAAGCTGGATATCTTGCTTTGCGAGAAGACGGGGAACAGATCGTGAACGACATCGAAGGCATTAGGTCGGTCAAAGAATCCGTATGTATGGCGGAGAGAGGGGGTATTGCAGATGTCAGAGGCCGCCGTGGTGTTATAGATGAAGCCGAGTTCGCCATACGCATAAGGATCAATGTCGTCAGAAGGGTTTTCGTCGAGTGAGCGCGCTGGACTGTCAATCGGACAAGAGACTCGGGAGTTTGTCCAGGTCGGTTGGTGTGCGAATCGGTTGAAACGAGTGGTGCGCACCTCGTCAATGCGGTCGCCTTTGTTTAGGTCCGAAGCACGTGGGGACCACGCATTGGTTGGAGTTTTCTTGAATGCTGCTGGAATAATGACGTCCTTGGCTTTCTGCACCAATCGCTGGAGGTCTTCGTTAGGGAGGATCACGCGCGGCTCGTCGTGGGTGTTAAACACCAGGTCCATATCGGGCAGGTATTTCACAAAAGCATCCATCATACCGGCCGTGGCATCTCGCTGCCACTTGCGGTCGTCACCCCCTCCATCCGTTAGAGACACCTTCCCGTTGCGAATCAGAACACCGAGCACCGCATTGTCAAATCCAAGTGTCTCGCGCGCTCGGTCGCGAATCGTCTTAGGTTTCACACCCCAGAAGGGGAGGAGGCTGTGGTAGATCGAGTCGAAATCATCGACGAGCTGTACATTTCTTGACTTGGCAAACTCGAACCACTTGTCGAAAAATGGCGGCGGGTGCATATTGTAGCGGCGCTGGTATTCACTCACGGCCTCGGCCAGAGTTTTTGATTGGCGTGACTGCGCATGATTGAAATGCTGTTGGGCATTTTCAATCAGACGCGTGATCGGGTGTTCCTTCTCGGGGAGGTATGTGTTTTGCCCCGCATGGAGTTGAGGGTGTTGTATCGGTTCGGGAGGAGGCAAATCTATGGGCTGCTTTGGGGGAGTCGAGGATCGTAGCAGTAGGAGAGAAAGACAGGCAAGAACACTGATCGCAAGTAGTACAATCAACCGTTGGATGCGCATGCTGCCATTGGAGAGAGGCATGAAGGAGGAGAGCAAAGCTAAGTCTTAAGGAGAGTTCTCCGTAAGTCTAGAGTCGGGCTATTAACCTTATCTGCCAAGCCTTTCTAACGTAATCGCGACAATCTACCTAGTTAACTGTTACAAGGGTTTAAAAGACATAGCCTATCAATCATATTATAATATGGTCTATTTTTATTTATGTGGTCCTCAATTCTTGAAGGGGGCCAGTCTAGCCACTCTACTAGTATGTGGCGTTGCCCAACTGCAGGGGAGGTACTCCATGATCTAATTCATATACGTGTCACCAAAAGTGCTTGGACTATGTTGTACATTGATGTACATGCTACAGAATATCAAGTATATCGTTCAAATATTTCTTGGTAGAAAGATGGTTGAAACCCTCGAAGGAGTAGCAGATCTAATCACTCGCGAATATATATATTCAATAGTACACAATTCATGTAAACTATACATGTATAGAACATAGTCCGTACCCCTTGATTCTCTACTCACTTTTGGTTGGCTTCTCACTAGGGGGGGAAAAAGGGGCACAAGTTCATACATTGTAGATCGTCGTCCTCTCCGAAAACAAGATCTAAACAAGCACAAAACGAAATATATCACAAAGTAACTGTTTGATCGAGCCTTGAAACTATGTAAGGAATTAGAATCTTCTATTTTCTCCCCCGATGGATGGATTGATAAATGAGGTTCATACTACATGAGCTTATATGTATATATGGCATCCCTAGAGTTCAATATTAAGATACTGACCAACAGATCTTTCATTCCAAAGAACAACCGGGCATGTTATATTCCTCCACAATACATTAACATGCCGCCCAACAGCACATCCAATTAAGCACAGAGGCTGCTAAGGTCTGCAGCATGTACTTTTGCGCCTGCTTCACATGGGAGTAAGCCGCAACACACAATAGTACCACCAAAGACACATGACCAAAGTAAAACATCTTTCTGCGTTCTTGAATGGTTCCCTGTGCAAGCCAAGTCTGGAGTCCCTTCTGGGGAGCCGGCCGCACGAACAGAACGAGTAGCATCGCCGAGAATATCGCAGCTAGGCCACATTGGACGTCTAGGTCTTGGACGCGCTTGAAGAGCAATATACCAAATTCAGGATGGCTAGATTGCACGAAGAACAATGTATACAACGCGGCGTGAGCCAGCAGAAGAGAGACAACCGCCCGACCAAAGAGACGGTGATACGGTGTCAACACTGGCTGAGGGATACCAGTCAGAATAGACAACACAGATGAGGCTGCGGGCCGAGAGATGTATGCCGGAGACATCAGAACCTGCAGTGGTAGTTGGGATAGGCCAACTCGGCCCAATGCTTTGGTCAAATGGAGGTAGTCTAGCATGTTAGCTCGTGCCTCTAACCTACCGGGAGACAAAGACATACCATCACCACTGTTCCATATCGAAAGGCCTACAAGCCATAGCAGCCACAGGCCGCAGAGAAGATACTGTCGGGTCTTTCCAGAAACCGGCCCATCCCACTTCGCAGTTGATCTTGCAGCAAAGCGAAAAATTCGGATGGTGACGATGACCACAATAATTGACCATTGTGCGTAATACCCCCGATAATCAAGTAGCTCCTTGCGATGCAGTTTGTCGTCTTCGGAGAGAGAAACGAAATGATATGGCCACGACATGGCGACTGAATAATAATATAAATGAGAAAGGAGGGCTTCTGTAAAATCACAAGCCAATTGACATGCCAGTGAGACGTAGTGAGGTTCAAAAAAGCATGTTTAGAATGTTGATATTGGTATCACAAATTTATTTGATATACTGCTGGTGCAAAATAAGAAGTCCAACCATGGATGTGCCTGGATGCCTCGGGGGGAGGGGAGGGGGGCCCGGGGCCACCTGGCACCCAGGAAGGGTTGCTTTTTGCTGACAAATGAACCTCAATTGCTCCCCGGACGAACTTCCGAGGTCCAGCCCTCCAGGGTTGGCTTAAAGCCCTCCTTTTTACGGCCACTATACCGTAGATACACCATGTGAGTGGGTTTACATGTATCGAAAGGTCTTTAGTTGCGCATTTGCTTTTGACTACCTACCCTGGCTAAACGGTATGTAAAACCTCTACATTAAAAACGCCTGAAGGAAAAGGACGCTTGGCTATTCTCTAACCTGACAGGATGTCTTGTTGGGTATTGACCGAACAAGTGCATAGTTTAAGGGGAGGTCTGCATCTCATCCTGATTGCCACCAGCAGTCGTAGCGAAGTATCGGACATCCACATCGTCATCCTCCTGCAACTTCTCCAGGCTGGGCACAACCCTTGACTGAATCAACTCCAGGCTCTGGGGTGATGGCGCGATAGGCTCTTCAGACTTCTCCACCTCAACCAAGGTCTTATCGGCCGGCAGACGACGCAGTGTGGCGGTGAGAACGGCGTAAGACTTGGCGACGTTGAAACGGATGTTAGGAATTTCATCCGTCACTAGGCGTTCCAGGATAGGAAGGAGAGAGCTCTCAATAATTTCGAGGTTGACAACGGGGGTGAGAGTCTGATAATTAGCATTGATCGATGTAGTAAGAGAGGAAACTTACAGAAACGGCAAAGCACGTCGTCATGCGGTAAAGATAGTTAGGGTGTTGACCCATGGCCATTACCTTGGGAATGATAGAAGCTTTTGACCACTCCACGCCGAATACCTCTGTCAGCTTCTTCAAGTTCTCAGTGGCAGCCTCTCGGATGGAGAAGACTGTGTCTCCGAGCCAGCCCATGCAAAGATCGCTCAGCTGCTCGTCAAAGAACTCGACTCCAAGTTGACTGGCAAGGAGTGGAATATATTCAATGATAGCAAGGCGGACACGCCATTGCTTATCCTCGGCCAGTTGAACAATCGCGGGAAGAAGAGACTGGGAGAGAAGCTGGATACCAATGACTATATAGGGTAAGAAGGCATACATAAAAAATAAACCAAAAAACCAAAAAAACCAACGAGCGCTTACCTTTGTTGACCTGCTCGAGCTTCGAGATGATGTGCAGGCGGACGTCGGGGAATTCATCCTTAAGCATTTGAAGGAACATGGGGAGTAGGTGTGCAATAGTCCTGGGCGGTCAGTACAGGTTATTGCTAGTAGATAGGAAGGATGCTTACTCCTCCTTGCCTAGAATAGGCGCGAGCCCACTGATCTGAGTACCGAGGGAAGCCCGGACGTGCTGAGAGGGGTCAGAGACAAGGTCTTCAACGCTAGTCATGATCTCATTGAGGAGAGTGTCGCGATCGATCAAATGGCAGAAGCCTAAACATGTGTTAGTTAGGCATCAACTATACATAATTTGGATAACATACCAGGAATTTGGCCAGCAATTGCGGTGCGAACCTCGGCCTCTGTATCTTTGAGGAGCTTGACAAAGGCAGGCACCATGTCGCGGGTGACAACCTCTTCGTGAACAGCTTTGGCGATCTACATACATCAGTTTCGCCCGATAGTTCAAAATTCGGGACAATGTACCTTTTCATATCGATCGGCAACCATGTATCGGACTCTCCAGCTCTTATCCTCAAACAGATTCCGCAGCGATGTCAACAAAACGCCATGGCTTGGTTGCTGTTCTTTGGGAATTTCCTCCGCGATCGCAATTAGAATATCAACGGTAAGCAGACGGACGCTGTCTTGATCATCGCTCGCCAAGTATTGGAAGAGGGGAATTATTTCTTCGATGACGACCTGGCTCTGCATCTCCTTGACAAACTTGGCCAGATTGTTGGCCGCCTGTCGCCGCACCATCGGGGTTTCATCGTGTACCAAAGATCCAAAGTGCTGTCGGAGACTCTGCTGCAAAGCCGGAGTAGCCTTCTTGTATGGTGTGGAGTAAAGACCAGTCGCAGAGACCTTCGAGGTGAACCAGTCTGCCTTTGACAAGCGGAGGACTAGCGGGACAAAATACTCCTCAACTTGGTTTTCCGAGAGCTGCTCGCATACCTTGTTGAGAGATTCAACGGCCTGAAACGTCAGCATGCGCCCCAGAAAGTTTCAGCTGGTGTGGTACCTTCTCCCGCACCAACGGCTCCTCGATAGCCGCCAAATTCTCCAACGGGGAGAGCAACACGTGCCCGTGTTCGGGGCCCCCGACATATTCTGTAAAATTGCCCAGCTCTTCACTCAGCGCAGTCAAAACTTCATCCTCGTCCTCGACGGAATCTATCACTGTTAGACGGGTTTGCTAGGCGATTGAAGGCTAGACAAACCATCAAGAAATGGGATGAGCTCCTCCCGGGTTCGGTCGGGCCCAAGTGCAAGCGCGATCGTGGATAGACGGTGAATGGCATTGAGTCTGAGAAGAACATCGTCGTGCTAAAGAAAAATGTGAGCTAAATATTTTCTGCATGACCGGAGGGAGACCTACCTTCAACTCGTCAATGAGCACGGCGATGGGGTAGAGCTCGTCGTTCTCGTTCTGGCCCTCCATTGTGGATTTGGATATGTATTAAGGACACGCGACGAGTCCCGGTCCTGAAAGGGAAGAGGGTGGAGTTGGACCTGGTAGCGATTCGGCAGAGGAGGTGTAGGAGGCAATGTGATGGCTGATAAGGATTAGTTCCGACTTCGCGAGATGGCAAAGGGGATGGATGGTGGTAGAGTGAGGGTGGGGTTTTGGGCCGCATGGACACCTTCAGCAGAAGCATACCTCGACAATTGAAGAGTATCTTGATCAACAGCAAATTAATAGATTTGTCACAAGTTCGTAAAGAGAAAAGAAAAAAGCCCCCTTCGATGATGCAGTAACCAGAGCAGAGTAATCGAGCTTTGAGTGTTTACTGGTGTAAATTACATACTGGCGGTGTGCGCATAAACATTTGAATATGGAGGGGAATTACCATACCCATACCATTGTCACAAAAGAGGGGGGATCTGTGGCGGTGGTGGCTTGCGGGCAGAATTTCCACCAGCGCAAAGAGTCATCCACGACTTTGTGCACCGATCACTCTAGGGCTACTTCTTGAATTCTGTACGGGCTTTCCCTATATTCTGTCGGAGTCGCCTACTTGGGATTCGCTCTGGTTTACCGGACATTTCGCTGATTGACACCAGAATTCGCAACCCCCACCATGCCCACCATCTCGGTCGACAAGGCCGCTCTTTTCAAAGAGTTGGGCCGAGAGTACGTTTCTGGATTTTGTCATTGAACTCTACTGACATCTCTTTAGGTATACTACAGAGGAGTTTGATGAGCTATGTTTCGAATTTGGTAGGTTGGCTGAGGAATCCTTGCGGGGCATAACTGACTCTGAATAGGAATTGAGCTCGACGAAGATGTACATCCCCCGAAACCCGATCATAACCAATGCTGATCTTTCCAGACTACAAACTCGGACCGTCCTATCGTTGATGGAAAGCAAGAACCTCCGCAACTCAAGATTGAGATCCCCGCCAACCGGTACGCATGACATCCGAAGAGAAGAGATGGAAGAGCCCAACTAAGAATAGATTAGATATGATTTGCTGTGCTTCGAGGGCATTGCGCTCATGTTGAACATCTTCCTCGGCCGGAACCCCCTGCCCGAGTACAAGTTGACTCAGCCAGCACAGATGGAACAGATTATTGTCAAGGAAGATGTCAGTACTTCAACACCTACAATCCAGATGGAGGGGCTCCGCTGACCAAAATAGACCATGAAAATCAGACCCTATGTGGCTGGAGCTATTCTACGGAACATCAAGTTCGACCAGGCTCGTTATGCGTCCTTCATTGCTCTCCAAGATAAGCTCCACCAGAACTTGGCCCGTCAACGAACCCTGGTATCAATCGGTACCCATGATTTGGACACTGTGAAGGGTCCCTTCACTTATGAGGCTCTCCCTCCCAAGGACATCAAATTTACCCCATTGAATCAGACCCAGGAGATGGATGGCGAGGAATTGATGAACTTCTACGAGAAGCACCAACAGTTGGGCAAGTACCTGCACATCATTCGTGACTCTCCGGTCTACCCAGTCATCTACGACTCCAACCGGACTGTTTGCTCTCTACCACCCATTATCAACGGTGATCGCTCTAAGATTAGCCTGAACACCACCAATGTTTTGATTGAGATTACAGCTCTCGATAAGACAAAGCTGGATATTGTGAACAAGATGATGGTCACCATGTTCTCCCAATATACTTTGGAGCCGTTCACCATCGAACCTGTCCAGATTGTGTCTGAGCACAACAAGGAGACTCGCGTCACCCCCGACATCGCCCCCCGCACTGCTCAGGCTGAAGTCTCGTACATCAACCAGTGCTGTGGCTTGAGCCTCAGCCCCGCTGAGATCTGTACTCTTCTCACAAAGATGGCTTTCCGCGCCAAGCCTTCGACTACTTCCTCAGACATCATCAACGTGGAAATTCCCCCGACCCGTGCCGATGTTCTCCACCAGTGTGATATCATGGAGGATGTTGCCATTGCCTACGGCTTCAACTCTCTGCCCCGTGCATTCCCTGATATCTCTGGCACAGTCGCTCAACCTCTCCCCATCAACAAGCTTTCTGACATTATTCGTGTGGAAACTGCTATGGCTGGTTGGTCTGAGGTGTTGCCGTTGATTCTGTGCTCTCATGATGAGAACTTTGGCTGGTTGAACCGCAAGGATGACGGAAATACTGCTGTCAAGTTGGCCAATCCCAAGACCCTTGAGTTCCAGGTTGTCCGTACTAGCCTGCTCCCAGGTCTGCTCAAGACCATCCGTGAGAACAAGCACCACTCTGTCCCCATGAAGATTTTTGAGGTCAGCGATGTTGCCTTCAAGGATCTGTCTTTGGAACGCAAGAGTCGCAACGAGAGACACTTTGCTGCTGCCTTCTACGGTAAGACTAGTGGATTCGAGGTTGTCCACGGTCTTCTTGATCGTATCATGGCCATGCTCAAGACCAACTTCCTCGCCGAGGGCGAGACCCCCACAGGCGACTCGTACTATATCAAGGAACTAGACGGTGTGTACCCCCTCGAACAAGACCAAAAATATTTGCTAACAATGTAGATCCAACCTACTTCCCCGGCCACTCTGCTTCCATTCACGTCATCATTGGCGGCAAGGACCAGGTCATTGGCTCCTTCGGTATTCTACACCCTACTGTGCTCGAGAAGTACGAGTTGAAGTACCCTGTCAGTACTCTGGAGCTGAATGTTGAAGCTTTCATGTAAAGCAAGCGGGCCAACAGATCAGTGGCTGTTTT